CAGCCGAGTGTGAAGCAGCGGGAATGAGGATCAGCACCTCCAAATCTGAGGCCATGGTTCTCAGCCGGAAAAGGGTGGAATGCCCACTCCGGGTCGGGGATTAAGTCACTCTTGAATCAGAGACAATATCAGCCCAAAGTCCTCGTTTCAGATGGAAGTAAATATATTTCATTTGGAAATCACGTGACGTTTCTGTAGTCTGTGGTGATATGGGGTGTCATGTAATCTGCTAGTGTGGGTGATTGTTGGTTCACTGTGTCCTGACCTAAGCGACACAGGGAATCTAAGGGGCACTGTCAAGTAGAAGAGGAGAAATCCCTGACCCAAAAATACAGATGAGATGAATGCTGCTACAAAAACATGTCACACTGCTGAAACTGAAATTAATGGTAAAGAAGGTCCAGCCAAGTTTGGAGTGTGGAAATAGTACTACAACTTACCTAAAAACTCTTTTCAGACGATGGATATTTCCGGATTGTAAATCCTTTTTCATTAAATCTTAAATATTCTAACAATTTGAGATAGTGGATTTCCTGAGATTATCATTTTGATGTAAATAATTTTAAATTTAATTTACTTTTTTCAAGATATTTTGAGAAGCACTAGTTTTTTTTTGAATAAGTGGTGATTTTTGAGACAAAAAAAAAAGCTTAAAAGACCCTGAAAGAGATCTTTATAGCAAAACAAAGAATTTTCATAAGATTTATTCTCACAGTAACTGCCAGTAACCTTAATATAATTAACAATGATTACAAGTTTACTCTGGATTATAAATCTTTATAAACAGTCTATGGTTAATATGGTGTCAAGCAAGTGTCGCCACTTGATAGCCACTGTGAAATGCTTCTGGGCACTTACTACACCATTACTGTGGAGCATTATCTAAATTATCATTAATTCATTTTACCGGGATAAAAACTGGATGTACAGTATTTATCCTAAAATGTTTGCTAACTTTGTGCCAAAAACAATTTGAAAATGCAATTTTTGCCCCTTTACGTTTTTGCACTTTTGAATTGCCATTCTGTTTCTTTGCAGTATGTCTGCTGGTGTTTCCCAGTAGGTCTCCATTTCTAAACAACATGAAAGGAAAGGTTTCAACCTTGAATTTTTGACACTCACAACTCCAGAACTAGCACCATCTCTGAAGCCATCTCGTAGACCTGGTGGAGGTTGACCACATGGGGACAGGCGCTGGCCAGTTCAAGTAGTGCAATCTCATGGATGATCTCCATCCGGCAGTCCTGCCCTTTCCGTCTCTTCCTCATTATCTTAGCAGCGTACTCATGACCCGTGCACTTCTCCACACACTTTCTGACCACAGCAAACTTTCCCCTGAAAGAAAGGAAGACCATCAGAACTATATTCATAACAGCCACTGGTAGATGACAATATAACACTGACACTGCATGCTCATTGCACTGACCAATTAAAGAAACGAAAAAAACAAAAAACAAAAAAAAGGTAAATAATTTAATGCAATTTTATTTATACAGTGCCAAGGTAGGCATAAGGTACACCCTACATATAGATACATACATATAGAGAAAACTCAGTTTAATGATTCAGTGCAAATAGTGAGTGAGAAAGGTGACCGAAGAAGAAACACTCAATGCATCATGGGCAGCAGCCTACACCTATTGAAGCATAACTAAGGGAGGATTTAGGGTCACCTGATCCAGCCATAACTATGATTTAGCACAAAGGAAAGTTTGAAGCCTAATCTTAAAAGTAGAGATAGTGTCCGTCTCCCGAATCCAAACTGGAAGCTGGTTCCAAAGAAGAGGGGCCTGAAAACTGAAGGCTCTGCCTCCCATTCTACTTTTAAATACTCTAGGAACAACAAGTAGGCCTGCAGAGCGAGAGCAAAGTGCTCTAATAGGGTGATATGGTACTACAAGGTCATTAAGATAAAATGATGAATAGATGATGATACATCATCTGTTCCCAGATTCAT